ATTTAGTACCACTCAAAGGAAAAAAGAAAGTTCAGTTTTTCTTAAAACAATAAATTTGTCTTTTATGTGTGGGGGAATGAAAAAATAAAACAAAGAACTTATTTCACTATGCATGTTTCCCTGTATGTTATTAGCGACAACACAACTTTCTGTCTTAATCTTTTCCAAATGGCTAATGAGATATATTTTCTTTGGCTAGGCTAAACAGCAACTTACATCTTTTGAATGTTCATTCACTTTTGAAACAACATACAGTGCCATTTCCAAAGAGAACTTTTACCTTGATTTTATTGGTTCAGTCAATTCAGATCAGATTCTAAGTTTTTTGAGCCTGGCTCTCTGCATCTGGATGTCAAAGGTCAGACAAAGAATGCTCTTTTATGGAAAATATAATTTGATCAATAGGCCACTGGTGAGACTTTTTTTATGCCTTATTCATATAAATAAAATTTTTGTGTATGGTATTCAATTTTGAACTGGAAATAATATGTGCGGGTAGTATAATGAGTAGCAGATAGTGTAATAAGAAATAGGATAGTGGAGTTCAAATTCCAGTCAAGTTTCATTACATTCATCTTTGCACAAATATCCATGGTAAAAATATAAATTCATCTCTTCTCCTGCCAGCTATGGCTTAAATAGTAGGGTAGACTGAGCTCTACAGCTTTTCTTGGAAACCAGTCTAGGACAACTCTGAATTCCAAACTGTATGTAGCCTTGACAAAACATATACTATGCAGCTAATGAAAGGATTGTAGAGTTCACAATGACTTTATGATCCCAACTGTGATTGTTTAATCAATCAAGAAACACCTCCTTCATAAAATAGCAATGCTTATATGAGTTACTTTTGCTCCTTCCCATCCTCATTGGACAACCGTTACAGTTTTTGAATTCAGACTTGCCAAACAAAGTTAGAGAGTTCAGTCTATCTTGCTATGAAACCTACAGCTGGGAGTCTGGGATTCTTACTGGGAAAAAGGCAACATCAATGGGTCCCAAACCATCTTTCAATCATTACCCTGGAAGCTGGCTATCAAGCCACAGCTCATCTGTCCTCATCAGAAGGACAAAGCCATTGGCCACTTGCAGGGTTGTTATCAAAGTGATTAAGGAGTCCCATCTACATTGGTTTAAAAATCCGTGAACCTTCTCTTAGACAGACTGCCAACCAAAGCTGACAAGCTCTTAGCCTACCTAAATGCATCTGAGTACAAAAAATTAGTACACTTTGTATCGTATGCTTGTATTCATGCATAATTCATTATTTGCATACAGAAGACAAAAATCACTTTTAGAGAAATCCCCTTAAAAGTAGAAAAAGAAAACAGGTATTTAAAATTTCACATCAGTAAATAACAAAGTTATTGCCTATGCACATACAACGTAAGTGCTTTCTATATATTTACAACATATAGATGCACAAATCTCAGGCAAAACTTTTCTCCAGAGATAATTTAGAAAATTACTCTTCATTACTGTTTTTAATAAGTATGTGTGTTTATATGAACAATATTTAATCTATGCGTGTTTGTATATGAACACCAATAATTTGAATATTTAGTAAATCAACATCAATAAATATTGCAAAAATTGAGATCCTTCTAGGAACATGCATTTACGAAGACATATTTACAAGGGAATTTTCAGAATTTCTGGGATGAGAAATTATGAGTTATCGTTATTTACATTATTTACATTCAGACTATTGTTCTTGTCATTGTTGCCATCTTCTGGTATAACCTAAAAGGAATTTTGAACTGAACCCTTTATTTAATCTATTGGCGTACATTGTTAGGGATATCTTATTTAGTATTGCTGTTATTGCTCACACCATTTCAACTGAGTTCAAGTACATACTGCCTGATTGAACTCACCTTTATTAGATCAAATTCACAAACCAACACTTTAATCCATGAGTCTATTATCCCATATAACAATTGTGTGGAGCTTTCAACCTAACCTTCCTGTTGATAAGTGCTGCTGGCCATGCTTGACTGCACTCACCGAAACGTCTCTTTTGTTACAGCTGCTGCTGCTGCTGCTATTGAAAATTTGCTGTCATTTTGTCTTTTTTTTAGTTGGCAGTTCCCATATTTATTTCTAGGCTAGGCCTAATAAGGAGGTCCTCATAACCTAACATATGTGCTGATTCTTTTAGATATCTAACTGCAGTGTTCCTCCCTGTCCAGTATTTTCACGTCATTCCACAGGGTTTGATAACTATCCTTTTCCCTCCCTGCATGATCAGCCATGTCTAATTTAATGGTTTCTCTCCTCGTTATGGTGTTTTGATGTTCCTCCAGCCTTATTTTTAGAGGGTAGCTAATTTAACCGTTATATTCTTTGCCACAACTGCAAGGAATGGAGTATATACAGTTCTTAATGCTCTCTTCCATATTAGACTTGGCAGAGATTTCTCTGTAGAGTGGAGCTGCTTCTGAATATTGTCTTGATGTTGCATGGACTGCAGATTTTCTGAATCTTTCTTGATATGCTGTTGACATATGGAAGACAGACAGTGGCAGTTTTCTGGTCCTCCCGCTTTTGTTTCCATCTGCAGATGCTGATCTTATATTTTCAGGGTAGTTGTTATTCTGAAGGTTACACTTGATGCTAATCATTTCCTGTTGGTTTGTCTGGTTCACCACTTATGATTTTTGAATGGTGTTGTAAGCATTGGACAGTTACTTTCTTCACACTGTATGGACGGTGGGAATTGAAGTTGAGCTATTTTCTGGTGAAGGCTGGATTGCACTATATGAATGTTTTGAACCCATTCTCTGTGCAAGTGTTTAGTACCTCCAGGAAGGTTAGCTGGTTAATATTTTCTTCTTTCATTGTGAACTGGATCAAAGGTGTTATTGACTTCACATAGTCCAGCAGTATTTGTACAGCTTCCTTGTGAGGCCGGAATATGAAGGTATTATCTATGTATCTCACTCATACTGTTGGCTAAAGTCATTTCCTCAAAGTATTCACTGTACAAGTTCACCATCACTGGTGACAATGGTGAACCCAAAGCTAAGTCTTGCTGTTGGTATATCAGACTCTAGTTGGAAGATTCTTGTCTGTACACAGAATGTCAACATTTCCATAAGATTAAATATTAGAATGCTAGTATGTTCTACAAGGGAGGGGTCTGATTTCAGTCAGTTTCAAACCATCAGCAGAGCCTCATCCATAGGAACTACAATGAACAGGCTCACCACATTCAAGCTTATCATGCAATTGCTATGGATGGGAAACCCGTGAATTGATTCCACAAAGTGTCCCGAGTTAACATATGACAAAGGTTTCCTTGCTAGTGGGTTGACTATATCTATTAGAAAATCTGCTGTGGGTGGAATGCCAAGCCCCTGCAGCTGACTGTAGGTCTCAACAGAATACCAACTTTGTGGATTTCACAGAGACCATACATAGTTGAAAGCTTAATGTAACATAAAAGTTAGCTGTCTATACTTATACATCACAGGACAATAGCTTAATAGATTAAAATATTGGTCTGTGAATTTGGTGAAATAGCAATAGGGAGTTCAATCTCTGGGCTTGGCAGTGTGTACTTAAACTCAGTGGAAACAAGGGTGCGCAATAACTGATCAGTACTAAATATAAACTAGATCAGAGATCCCCAGATATGGACAATGGAATGAGAACAATATACCCCCAAAGATTAAACAAATGGTTCAGTTTGAAATTCCCTGTAGGTTAACCAGAGTGACATACACCTGATGAAGGCAGGAGTGCATAACAACCGAAACATTGTGATAACAACAACAAAGATGTGGACAATAATCCACATGTAAATACTGAATTTTTAATTATATAACATCACAATTTTAAGGGCATTCTGGAGAATGCATTCTTGCATGACGCTTAAGATTTGATAATTGAGAAAAGGCTCGATTACAAATTTTGCAAGAAAATGGTTTATCACCAGTATGTGTTCTTATGTGGACTTGAAGAGTTGGGCGTAGTGTAAATCGAGACCCACAGATATCGCAGCGAAACTGCTTCTCCTTTGTATGAACAATCATGTGACGTTTCAGGTCATATTTCAGTAAAAATTTTGATTTACACATGTCACAGGAGTAAGGTCGCTCAGTAGAATGGGTTCTCACATGACGGTTCAGATTAGATGAATGAGCAAATGCTTGGCCGCATACCTTGCATGAAAAGGGTTTGTCACCAGTGTGTGTTCTTATGTGAGCTTGGAGGGTCGAACGCTGGGTAAACTTTGCTCCACAAATAACACAATGGAACTGCTTCTTGCCAGTGTGTGTCGTTATGTGCGTTTTCAGGTTTGTCCTCTGTGCAAAAGTGTTTCCACAAATTTTACAAAGGTAGGGTTTTTCTCCAGTGTGTATTCTAAAGTGCATCTTGAGATTTGATGAACTTGCGAAAAGTGAGCCGCAGATTTCACAGGGGAATTGTTTTTCTCCTGTATGTGTGTTAATATGCTTTTTAAGATCAGATTTACGTGAAGAGGAATATCCACAAATTTCACAGTAGAATGGTTTTTCAACAGGTTGTGATTTCATAGGCATTTCTCGACAAGATTCCTGCTCAAAAGCAGCCTTACTGCTATCACATCTGGGAAGGTCAGTGTGAGCATCCAACATTTCCATTATGCCTTTTTTTTTTTTTTTTAATTTTTTTAACTTTAAATTTCTGATCTGCAAATGTTATTTTTTTTTTATCTTAAGTCAAAGATTACTAAGAAAAAAAAAATGTTCAAAATTCATATAGGAAAAATATGGCTTGCAATCTCCCAAAAGAATTTTTTTGAAATTCTTGTGATTTAAAATGTAGTTTAATGTGTTAGTACAAATGTTAAATTTTGGTTTTTATGTGGTTTTATTTGTTTGTTTGTTTTTTTTAGCATAATAGTATCTCTCAACATGGTGGCTCACTCACTGAAAGTTTATCTTTGTATCTTTTAAATGACATTAATTCTCTCCATAAGTTTTTAATGTCAGATATTCTTGAGTTGGTGTCTTTCATTTTTCCAGTGTAAAAAGCCTGAAAATTAAAAATAAAAATAAAATTTTATCCAGAAATAAAAGCAAGTAACTTATTTTCACAAGAAATATTTTTGCTAACATTTTTAATAGTCTAATTAATTCCTGAAATGTGTCTACATATACATTATATGCCTTATTGCTTAAACATTTAGTGGATATTTATGTTGGAGTAGACACTTTTTTTTAAACAGTGTAAATTTACATCTACCAGCTTGTGCATGAGAGAGTCTTAATAAAGAAAATGTACCTTTTGGCAGTGTTTGAAGCTATGTGCCATTTGTAAGGGAAAACCAATATTAAACCTGGTATGCTTTCAACTGCTCAGCCATGGAAAAGCTTACAGACAAGGAAAGTTCAATTATCCTATTTAAGAAATACACATTTCTCAGTATTCAAATTTTCCCTATTAAATGCTAAAAAAAGGTTTTAATCTTTATTTTTCCATTTTCTATTTTCATTTTTTGAATCTCTACTAAGTGATGCAAAAGGTATATTTTTTCTTTATTTTCATTGGCCTTAAGATTTTTGCCATATATATATATATATATATATATATATATATATATATATATATATATATTGTATACATTTTTGCTGGTTTATTAATATTTTTTTAATAATGCTGCCTTAATAAAAAAAACAAAAAAAAACAAACAAACCAACTCATTATGGAGAAAATATCTAGAAGGCATCTAAGATGCTTGTTGTTACTGTGAGTGAAAGAGAATGAAAAGATTTTAGCAAAGAGAAAGAACAATAAAAGAACAGAGTTCAGAAAGTGGTGATTGGCATTGCATTTAAATTTTTGAAGATAGAAGGTGGCAGGGAAGCAAGAAACCAGAAAAATGTTCCACAGGTGAGAAAAGAAACTATTAGAATAGAACATACGGTTGCATCTATCTAGTTCAATAGTAAAATAGTGAGAACTAGTTGCCAATCTAGTAGTATGCTTAAATTCATACAGTGGAGGCACCAAGGAGAAAAATTCATCAGAACACTTGCCATGAAAATATTTGCAGAAAAGACAGAGGGAAGCCACATCACAGTGGTGGAAAAGTGACTGAAATTGAGATGCCAGATCAGAATCAATTACATTACAGACTCTTCAAGGTCTGTAATATAATATTATATATATATATATATATATATATATATATATATATATATATATACACACACAAACAAACAAACAAATTTTTCTCAATTCAACTAATGTTTTATTACATTTTTCTAATTTTGGAGTATGATTTTGAACCTCAGATCAATAGATATAAAAAAGTGTTTTTACCAAAATTTTCTAAAATAATTTCATTCAGTTGTGAATAAATTCTGAAAGTTTCATTAAAATCCAACAATTATCTGATTTTGCAAGAATTTACAAACCAATGTGTTTTTGACCACAAAAAAATGCTAAAATTTCCTATACTAATTTATAGTCATCTGCTGACAAGAAAAACAAAATTTTTAACCAAAATTTCAAATGTTCTAAAAAGGATAAAAAATTCAATGGCTCCCAATATTTTAAAAAGAATTTTGAATTTTTATGTGTATGTATAAACATGTCCATTTAAAATTGTAAATACAGACATCCACATGACATTTCAGAAAATAAATGCAGTAATTATAATAAAGTTAAAATTTATTGGTAATTTTCTAACATCTTGACAAGTGAGACTATAAAGTTAAAGTATCTAAAATTCAATAAAATATTAGACTGCTTAGATTATTTTCTTAAATTTTTAAAATTACTAGGTAGTCAAAAAAAATTATATAAAAAAGGCATTCACATTATATTCATCAAGTAATTGCTACAGTTATGTTCCCCTTAGAAAAAAACTTCCCACACATACTGTATATACTTGTGTACAAGCCTACTTCATGTATAGTTTGTGAAAAACTTGATTTTTTCATATAGCTCATGTATAATGCGACCACATCTTCTGAGTAATCCTAGTAGGTCTACCATAGTCAAATATTGCAATTACTGAGTATCATCCTAGATATATTTTGTAGCAAAAAAGTGCTGTGAGAATCTAGGCTTACCAAGCAGGTTAGTTACTGAAAATACAAGAATTTTAACTACTCCTGAAAAAAATTATCTGTATATAGTGCAAGTGGTCACTGAAAAGGCAAGATTTTTAACCTTTTCAAAAGAGTGACCTGTGTATAGTGTGACCCCCATTTTATGTATAAAAAAACTTGCACTATACTCAAGTATATATGATAATTCTATTGATAAAGTTGTCAACATCTCATAAAAAACACCCGTTTACATGTTAAAAAATGCTTTTCTGTAATATTTTAAACTAAAACTAAGTAATATTTGTTCCAAATCAAATTAATTAAATTTTAAATCAGCTAATCTTCCTCAAATAAAGATTTCAGAAAAGTTGTTTTGACAGATTTGTCAATATGGATAATTTTAGTGTGTTTATTGATAATAAAAACTCATTCCAATCAATATATATAGCAATAAATAAAATTAGATGTTCACTTATCTTGTCACTACAGTACACTCTGTTTCATGGAGATTACATCCACTTATCAGGGGACTTGATTGTAGAATTTTACAATCTAGTACCTGATGAAATCAAAATTAAAATGAACATTTAATTCTATTTTTATTATTATTATTATCAATTATTTCTCTTGATATCGAGCACTAAAGACTGCTTGCTATAACATTAACTTCCAGAAATACCCTGCTCAACCACCATTTTTTTTTTTTTTTTTAGTTATCATCAGGAGTGTGAAAGAGTAAAAGTGAAGTAGCCAGATTTGCAAAAGGTGATTCAATATACATAGAGAATGTCTACGGTTTTTTTGGGTTTTTTTTTTTTAATAAAACTTTTTTGGAAAATCAATTGCTACTTAAAACAAATAAATAAAATGCTCAAGGACTTAGATACCGACTCAGAGTTTCAGAAGTAAATCCACATTTTATTTAGGGGCAAGATAAACCAATTGAAATTGAATTTACAAACAACGCATAAATTACGTTAAAAAAGACGTTCATTTTTGACGTCATCTCTCTTAGAAACGTTATTTACGCGAAATGATTGAATCTGAAACTGTTCGATTATGTGTATCAAACAATTTTAATTTTTAATTATAGAAAGGAATTTGTATAAAAAAAATCTTAATAATTATTAATGAATGATTCTCTAGTCATTAAAATTTAAATAAATAGATTCTCTTGTGAGCGAATTTTAATCCAGAATTACGTTAGACAAAAATAATTTATATTTTTTAATTTTATATTTTAGTTAGAAATAATCTAAAATTTAAATTATTTATTTTAGGACTTAAATAATCTAAAAAAAAAGTAGGCTATTTTAGCCAAACGAGTTACTTTCACGAACAATTCATTTGCTTGTGTTTTTAATTATTTTTTTTATCAATTTTTGCTTGATTTTTTTTTTTTTATAATTAATTTTTATTTGCTATGCATTTTTCGCATTACTTTATGAATTACTATTTAATATTAAATTAATATTATTAATACTACTAAAATACAATTTTAGAAAATTTTGAATTTTGATAATGTTATATTTTTTTATCTTTAGTTTCATTATACATGAATTATTTTTTTTATAATTTTTATTTTTTAAATACGCAATTTAAATATATTTATTTTTTTTAAGAAAACAAAAAATGTCTCTTATTGTTTTTAAATTATTTAATAAAATTCCATCTTTAGTTTTTCAATTACTACTAAAAGAAATATGATATTTATTTTTCTAATTAACACGACTGTTTGACATTGAAGAGAAAAAAAGCGAAAATTGACGCTTTTTCTATTTTTGTATTTCACACGAAGGTTAAAACTAGAATTTGTAAAAATATAAATTTTTTAGAATAATTATTCAAAAAATAAGCGCGCCTAAATAAAAACAATTCGTTTAATAGCAGAAACTAGAAAGCAAAAAGCAAAATCAGATTTTTTAATAAAACAGTTCCTTTTTAAAAATTAGAATGGTTGGGTATTTCGGCCATTATTAAACGAAACCGAGAAAAAAATCAAACTGACAAAAATACTCACCTTTGTCTTGTAAGATCAACATTTTCACGACTTAATACCTGAAGAACGATTGAAACAATGGAAGATAAAAATTGAAAAAAATGTCAAATTTTCTTGTTAAAAAAAAAAAAACAAACAAGAAAATAAAGGACTTCAATTAACAGCAGTTTTCAAATCGGAATTTAAAAAAAGCAAGGGACGTAATCGGAAGGTGCAATGGAAGATTTGTTCCTTCTGACAATAGAGATAATTACTTTTTAGTCTGACATAAGGCCTTTGTAAGGAGGTATGTTGGTCTATTCGATTGGCTTGCTAAGCATCGTTCTGTAGCAAACATTCTGTGTTTATTTTAACACTAAAATACACCCAATTCAAGGCTCGAAAGCCACTCAAGATAGAGGGTTATTTTTAAAATGCTAATGATAAATGAAGTCTGTGATATGAGTGAAAGAGAAGGTGGTTGGGAATGAAGATTATAACAATAAAGATGATAGATAATGATTTATCCTTGACTTGAAAAAGTTAAGATTGAAGTGTTCAGGGAAGCAATTACATTGGAGTGTGTTCTACAAAGTAACAGCTCTTGAGAAAATCTGAGGGGAACTTTCTTCTTACGTTTGAAATATTGAGGAAATGAAGGTGAATTGATTCTTTGAAAAACATCAATAGGAGTAGACACTCATCTCCAGTCTTTTGAACAGGAGTAGAAGTTTATCCCTTGATTCCTGTTCAGGATTGGGTTTCCAGTTCCTTCTAACATCATCATCTTTTCATTCTCTCTCACTTCCAGTAACTCCTTGCATCTTAGTATCCTTACCACCTTGCTTGGGGCGAACTGATAAAAAAAAAAAAAAGAAAAAAAAAAGAAGAATGGCATCTGAACTGATGGAACTAAAGAATGGATGTCATCTGAAAATTTTCCATGGCAATAGCAGTAGGCATGCAACATTGCTTCTGTGGAAAAGAGGGTGCAGAGTGGAGAATAAGTCTTTTTTTCTCTTATACTAGAATTCATCCAGTATAAGGTTCAAGAGCAACTCAAGGTAGATAGTTATTGTTAAAATGATAATGATAAATGGGGTGAGATGAGTGGAAAAGGAAGTGGTAGGATGAGAAAATTCCACAAAGTAGCAATTCTTGGGAAATAAATTGTTTGAATGGAACATTTTCTTTATATTTGGAATTTGGAGGAAATGTAGTTGATTCAACTCCATGGAAGTAGCACAACATGTCTTAGTTGTAAAGGTCTGAACTGGTGGAACTAAAGAATGGAGTTCATCTAAACATTTGCAATGGATGTAATAGCAGAGTAGTGATAGAATAGACTCTTGTGTGGTTGCTTCCTTGAGAAACTTCAATCCTGCCTTCTTCATGTCAAGATTCTTTTTTCCTTATCCTCATGAACTTTATTATGTCCTTCTCTTCTGGTCATATCAAACACCTTCTGTATTATCCTTTTTACCTCTAATCCTCTACCTTGAATGGCTCTTGAGCCTTATATTGGGTGACCTTTTAAAAAAATTGTTAGGGAAACATTAATTTAATTTTATTTACAGAGTTAAATGATGCAGCTAGATATATCGCTGATCCTCAACAAAATTGTTACCCTGTGGAGTCACTCCCATCATACCAGCAGGGATAGCCTCATGTTCACAGGAATAAAAACATACATGGAAATAACACAAACAGCAAGTTAAATTGTAAATTAAAATCATACACTTTTATTTATTTGTGTGTGTGTGTGTGTGTGTTTTAGTTACAAGTGTTTTAAAGTTTCATGTGATAAAAGGAAGAAATCACTTATTATTATAACAAGTAATGTCCTAGGGAGAGGAGATGGACATCTTGAGAAAAGTTCCTGTTGCATTCTGGGAGACTTTTATTATTTTGGCTTTATTTATTTTAAACAAAGTTTTAATGTTATTTGTTTTATTTTATTTATAATATTCATTATTATTATTATTTTATATTTTTATTTATTACTAATAATAAGTCCCTACAACCCTGATATTCAAACATAAATGATTCATACACTAGAAGCAATATCTTGTGTTATAGATATTTATAGCTATATATTATAGCTGGTTCAGAATAACAAATTTGTGGTCAGAAGACTCTGCGGGCATGGAATTCTGACAGTGATATATTGCTTTTGTTTATATTTTCTATAAAAGTTGAAAAGGTGCAAGAAAGACACAGAGATGACTGCAAGAATTTGAAAGGTCAACATGTCTCCGGCATCTGTATATCTTAGTGAGGCAAGTCAGCTTGTGACGGTGAAGCCCTAGCCTTACCCTGTCACTTCCTAGAAACAATACTGCAACAACTGATCCTCATATAATAAAGCAATGGATGAATCATTTGGATTTTACAGATGTAGCATTGAATTTGTTGACTTTCACCGAGTTCAAGTGGAATCCATTTATTTAGTTTCTTTAGGATGCCAATTTTATTGGGATGACCTGATATTGTTGAAATGTTGACATCTATTATCTGAGACATTTCTCTGACACTTTGACATGGGTTCTGTTCAATTAGTGCTTTCAGGTGTTGATTATTAATTGTAGATGGACCTGATATTTTTTATTGATTTTATATATAGCTTCCATCTATTAGCATTAACATCTAAAGATATATATATATATAGCTTCCATCTATTAGCATTAACATCTAAAGATATATATATATATAGCTTCCATCTATTAACATCTAAAGATATATATATATATATATAGCTTCCATCTATTAGCATTAACATCTAAAGATATATATATATATATATAGCTTCCATCTATTAGCATTAACATCTAAAGATATATATATATATAGCATATATATATATATATATATATATATATATATATATATAGCATCCATCTATTAGCATTAACATCTAAAGATATATATATATATAGCTTCCATCTATTAGCATTAACATGTAAAGATATATATATATACACACACACACACTAGATTCCCTGACAACCGGACTAAGAAGGCCTTCCTGATATGAGGAATTGCTTACAAAGTCCAGATATGAGGATTTATATTTAGATTAAAATAAAAGAACTGAAATCAGGTTTAACATTTACTTTCAATGTTTTATAGTAAACAATATAAGCTAATGGTGAGTGAAATATAACAGAATTGATTTTAAGGAAAAAGAAATATATTACGTAATGTTAATGAAAATTCATTATGTATGCTACATATGCAAAACAATACAATGAGGATTTTTTAATTGCTGTTTCATGATGATTCTTTCTCTTCTAATGTCATTCTCAACTTTTTTCGCATTTCAGTTTGCTTTTGTTCTTGAAATTTTTTTAAATGAAAGATACTTTTTAACTCTGCATGCATTATTGCAATCATCATAGCTGAATGCTGGCTTTCTTTCCATAAAACTGACAACCTTTTCAATTTCAGTCCAAGTTTCATCACAATCATATTTTTTATTTCCTTGTTCATTGTGAGAGTGTGAACGCTGGAGAATAGTTTCTTTGAAAGATTTTATATCATACAATGTTGACTTTCCTATGCTGAACTCAGCCATTAGTCACAATAAACTTTCACCAGCGTCTATGTTTAAAATTTCCACTTTTTGTGATAACTTCCAAAGTTATTCTTTTCCTCCTATTCCCATCATCTTTTGCACCAATACAAGCCATTAGGGTGAAATAAGCATAAACAATTATCCAAAGTAAATTTGCTGAAAAACAAATTTCAAATCAGTTCCATATCACCCAAATAGTTCAGATATACCCATCAAAATCATGTCTGGATATGAGGGATTCTATTGTATATATAAATCAATAAGGTCACTAAGACAGAAGGGGTTACTGAGTGTGAAAAAATATAAGAAAAAAATTCTTTTCACTATGATTTCCTGTGGGTAAAGAGAGAGAAAAACAATTGAGTCCTTTCTGTTTATACTACTTTATACAATGCCACCTAGTGGGTGTTAAAACAAGTTTTCTGGGAAACAAGCTGCATTACATGCATATATGCTTCAAGACATACTTATACATCTTTATGAAAATTACATTGCCTGCTGTCAATGCATATATGTTTTTAAAATGCTGATAACAACAACAAGGATTAGTCCAAATGTAAATAATGTAAACGAACTAGTAGAATTCTTCACTACAGTAAAAAATAACTTTTTTATTAACTTTTTTCTATTAATTCAATTTTTTTTTAGAGTGGCTTAATCCATGTTGATATTAGTAGGGGTGTTATTCAAGATTTAAACAAACTAGAATATAGTTGCTTATAAATGAGTTGCTTATTAAAAGAAATTGTGTGCTGATTCATAAAACCTACACTGGAAACAAGTTCGATCTCTACAAATTGCTGGTTGTATCCATTCTCCTCTATGGGTATGAGATTTGGACACTTCTGGTTGAGACAGTAAAAAGGATCTAGGCGTTCTAGAACAAATGCACAAGAAAACTCCTTTGCATCTCCTACTGGGAACACAAAACCAAAACAAAGAAATATATAAATATGAAAGTGAACAGGCCTGACGATTGTGTCTAGCATAAACAAGCCTGTTGCCTCTAAGTGTTGACTTCAGTGTTCACTTTTATATTTACACACACCCTATCTCTGATATTGAGCACTTTTATCCCATAAATATAGCACACCTTAAGAGTATATTTCTTCATATATATATATATATATATATATATATATATATATATATATATATATATATATATATATATATATAGAGAGAGAGAGAGAGAGAGAGATAAATAAAAGGCCTGAAGGCTGTATTCATAGTTGATGTTATTGAATGTTGGCTTTTTCTTTATTATTAGTGCTTACATTATTTATTTTTTTTATTATCTGCAGATAAGGCTATTATACTTGTATTTTCTACAAGTGTGTTGCAAATGGACTTCAGTAGGTTTCCATGTGTGTTTAAAGGTGTCCTAATTGAGCTATGTTCAGAGAGGGGCAATGTAACTTTTCTCGATAGGCATATAGTGATATATCCAATATAATTAGTCATGAATGTGGTTTGATCACGAATACAATTCCTTAAAGGACATGTGAATTCATAAATGATATTGGTTCTCTGTAATTTCAGTCTTGCAGGGGAGTAGTTGTTGATTATAAGGTTAGCTGTTTTAATTTTTTATAGTAGATAATTAATTTAATTTTCTTGTTCTGGTCAACTGGGGTTGTGTATTTCTTATTATGTTTCTAAGTGAAAATTCATCCTTATATATATGTAATATTTATTACAGGAAAGGCAGGATACATCTAGAAAAAAGTAACCAGTTAGAGGTTTTGGTGTTTGTAGACACATATGGCTACTCAGGTTAGCTTGACTGAGGCAAACAGCTACAAATATCATACACAAAATGTGTATTGTCATTATCCATTGGCAGCCCATTTGTTGTAGACCTTTTCACCTTTCCATGACTACACCTGTTTTTTTGGATTTTTTTGTCAAAGAACTTTGCTTCCTCGTAAATGTTTCCTCAATTTTAACTAGTCACTAGCACCATTCACTCAATTATCCTACAATTACATATACATACATGACAGGCATTTTGTATCAATTAATTTCAATGATCAACTTTTCAAAATTATGAAATTCATTTTAGAAGAAAAGTACAAGAAATCTGTGGTCTAAGCTTTTGGCTTAAGTCATCATGAAGGTAGGCAGATACAATTGGTGAGTTTCATAGAAAGAGTGAGTGTTGTGAGATGGACAAAGAGTGCTGTGATCTGTGGTATGTTTTTTATATACATTTAAGGATGTGAGCTCTTAAGTTATAACTGTTTTTATTTATTGATGGTTGTTCTTGTTGTTCAACTATT